CCCCAAAACCCCAAAACCCCTCTGCTACCAAATTTAATGAAATTAAAAAAATCATTTTGTCAAAAAGCAAAAGCATTATATGCTAATATTTGAGTTAAATATGATTCAGCTTTTCTTAAAGGCATAGTAAAATCCTGCTCCGAGTCCACTGCAAAGTGGAAGCACATGAGTAAGTAATCTCTTTATATAGTTTATAATACTCTTTTGTTACTCAGCTGTTTAGAATACAAGATAGTGAACATCCGAATCAATCTTGCCCCAATTGATTGAAATGTATCGTAGCTTTGACAAGATACTTAATCCAAGAATACAAAGGCCTGAATATATTGCAATCTTTTGCGATACTTGTTTTATATATAATCCCATGCAATATCCCATAGCTGTTCCAAATAAAGTTCTAAGGGGCATACCAGCATAGTAAGGCAAATATGTCTGCAATTACTTCTAAACCTATGAAATAGTTAGTATAAATTCTCCAAACAATGGATATATTTTAATAAACTTACATTTTATTCGATTTCATTTGCATTTAAACCTCTTTGGCTCATGCCCATCCTGTTAAATATTGATTCAAGAGCCTGCTTTGTTTCTTCAGAGTAGTTTTCAAAATAAGATATGGCTTGAATAATCTTTTAGAGATTCGCCTTTTGCTATGATGTAGTAATGCCGATTTTATCAAGATTGTAGTCTTAATAAGAATCATCTTTGGTTGTTTGCTGATCTTCGACCTTAATATGATGAAGAAGTTATAGTTTTTGAGACTTCTCTAGATCATTTGTATAACATTTTTTCAATTCTTCGTCATGCTGCATTTTCTTAAAGAGTTAATCAACAAAGTTTTGCAAACCTCTATCGCCAAGATTCTTTTTTAAGATTCCAGTCATCTTTCTGATTTAGAAATTAATTATAAAAATTTTAATACCATCAATAAATGAATACATTAAAATACACACTCACAAGATCTTTAATGAGTAGAAGTTATGTAGCTCTAAAATAGCCTTAAAAGTTGATTTTGAACTATAAATAAGGAAAATCTCTATTAAATATACATGGAAGAGGAATCATTTGGATAAATAAAAACGAATAACCTGAATGGATATATGCAGAACAAAGGTAAAAAATTAGATTTGATTTGATTATTTACAGTGATCTAATGAATGTGGAATTATAAACATGCATCAACGAATTGAAGCAGGGGGAAGACCCAATATTTATTGTAATAGATGTGAGAGAATAACATTAAAGGGACATTTTAGACTTGCCTAAAAGAAATAAAGTAAAATTTTGATACAATTAGTTCATAATTAGAAATAAGTTGAAATTCCCAGAAGAAATATTACGCTTTAAGATTTGATGCAAGGATTTTATTAAGATAGACTTCCCAAAAATAAGTACTTGATTATGATTTGCGATGATGGAATGATATCTCAAAGGGCTAGTAAATTCCTGAAAAGACAGGGATTTAATGCTAAATGTCTATTAGGAGGAATTGAATCTCTTGACGGATTGATTGATTTGTAATATGAAAAATTTGATTGATAGATAATCAATAATCTTCAGCAAAATACTTTGATTTCTAAAATTTTGGTAATCAAATTCTTACATATGTTTGAACCTTTTTTGAAATCAATTTTTCTGAGCGGGGTTTTGGGGTTTTGGGG